TTTTATATATATATATAAATATAAATATAAATATTTTATATATATATATAAATATAAATATAAATATTTTATATATATATAAATATAAATATTTTATATATATATGAATATAAATATTTTATATATATATATAAATTTTATATATATATATTTTTATGAAATTTTATAATGTTGCCTGCAGTTCAGTCACTGCAATTTCTCTCTTACAATTAACAGTTCCCCGCGAATTTATGTTAACTGTTACTTTATGCCAGATCGAAGTTTCGAGTTCTTTTATAAAAAAAAGATGCACGCCATACACGCGATTATTTTCTTTCGCCATGAAGCAATTTCGTCGATAGAAATCAAAACAATAATAATCGACAAGCCGACGCATATAAATATCGAATTTTACAATACTTTCAATCATCGTGAATAACTTTACGCTTCACGATATCGATCATTTAACATATGCAACAACCTATATACGAGCAAACAGGAGATTATTCAACGAGCAAACATAAACGGAGAAAATGCATTGTAAACCCCTATGAAACACAGAGTGATTTCAACCTAAATAAACTTCGACCCGCGGCCGATTTTACGACCTCGGTGTATCACTTTTGCCAACGATACACACGCAAGATTATTTGCTCGGGGCAAACATTTTGGCAAATCACGAGAGTCCAGTGTGCCACCGGCACAGCACGACGAAGATGGACTCGTTCATCGGACAAATTGTTGTGTCGACGATGTTTGGATGATTATAAATAATTTCACGTGTTTTGTTTGTTGTTGCTGTAACGTGTAATAAAGATCCTCGTTCGATTTATTTCGCCAGTTGCGGCTCGATGAACCACGGAAATCCTTCCTCCGTCGCTTTTCATCTGTGGGAAACTTTCTGACGAACTTGCCGCTTTCGAGGGAACGACGTCGTCCTTCGAAAATCGCGGAACTTCGTTCGCAAAGTTTCCGATCAATGGGATCGCAGGTGTTGGCGGCTTATTGTTGCTCGTAATACTCGTCAGATTGTTTGGCGAAGCCGATGAACAAGCTGCCGCGTTCAGCCTCGAACTGTATCGCAAATGATGCAATTGCTCTCGATTCTCGGTCGATGTTTAAGGAGAGCAGTGGACCGAAAAATTATGTACACTTTGGAGGGCTAGTAAAAAAAAAAAAAAAAAAAAAAGGTAAATATTTGATTGACGTGAGCTTTTGTGGTTTATTTTAACACATTATGAACTGTAAAAAGCAACATTAAAAAGAGTGAAAAAGAAAGCTATTATTTAACTTTTCAACGGCATCCTTTTACATTGCCTATCGGTATGCATAATTCCAGCCAACTAGGATTAGTGGCAACAAAAAGGTAAAAAAAATTCAAAAGTAAATAATATTCTCTAGAGATTGACGATCCAACATTTTCATTTCTGTGAAAATTATGAAAATAGATATTTGTTTCTGATGTGTCGAATTTATGTCAAAAGTTTCTACGTTTTTTCGTTTATATTTTTCGAAATTGTTAAAAATTAAAGAAATGTTCGATCGTTAATTTCTAGTAAACATTACACTAGAAGATACGTACCAAGTTTCACAGTAATCAGTTCGTTAGATTCCGAGATATCTTACACATCGTTTCTAAAAATCTAGTTTCGAGAGAAACGCGTTTAAAGTTTCAGAACGTCATTTTTCATATGTATCCTTTATTTACTTTNATTTATATTAAATATAATTATTTTTTATATTAAAGTTAAAATAATATTATATTACATTAAAGTTAATAACATTTATATTAAGTATAATTATTTTTTATATTAAAGTTAAAATAATTATATTATATTAAAGTTAAAATAATTATATTATATTAAAGTTGTAAACAGTGATACAAATTCAATTATTCTGTATCCGTGGATTTACTATTCTAAGTCGTTTTTAAAGTCGTTTTTCTATCTTATTTCTAAGACTTA